TTTGGCACTCTAGGTCTAATACTTAAAACCCTTAGCTCCATCACACAAGCTCAAGATTTCCGTATGAGAAAGGAAGAACGCATCGCAGTAGCCAGTCCTGCTAGAGTGTATGCACTCACAGAAATCTTAAGGAAGCGAATGAATCGCAAAAATCACAGCATTTCTCTCCTCATAGACAAAGGCAGGCTATGCACTAACTCTGCAGACATATGTGAACTATTCAACAAAACGTTTGCAGGTAACTACCTTAAGCCCTCAGTCCAGCTACTCGATATACACCCTATTACTAAAATGGCACAAACTCCAACTCCACTGACACCAAACCAAATTAGCACTGTTCAATTCACTTACGCTGACATTAACCAAACTATAAGAACCCTCAAAAGTTCAAAAGGTTTCGGTACCGACGGTATATCATCTTACTTCTATAAATATGGTGGCCCTGACATTCCTCTACTACTGCTTAAAATATTCACAATGTCCCTAGAAACCCAAACTTACCCTGACATATGGAAGACAACATTCATTATGCCTAAACACAAATCTGGCTCGAAAACTGAAGTCAGTAACTACCGGCCAATCAATATCACACCTATAGCATCTAGAATCATGGAGAGACTAGTCAAAGATAACTTAATCAAACATATGCTTAGCTGCAACATCATAAGTCCGAACCAACATGGATTCCTGAAATCCAGATCATGTTTAACATGTCACCTAGACTTCTTCAATTTTGTAACCAGCAGTCGTGACAGACGGCAACTAGTACTTGTCATCTACTTTGACATTTCTAAGGCATTTGACCGTGTTGACCATTTACTGCTAACAAATAAACTGAACTCCTTAGGAATACGTGACCCATTATTAGGATGGCTTAAATCATTCCTTAACAATAGGTCCCAAATAGTTAAACTCGGGTCTGCAACCTCCAAACCTAGCCCTATCACTTCTGGTGTAGTACAAGGTAGTGTCATTGGACCCCTCCTATTTACACTATACATCAATGACATATGCGCTTGCTTCACGCACGGGAAACCATTCATCTTTGCAGATGACCTAAAAGTAGCTTATACATTCCAACGTGATGACTTAGGGAACTTCGAGAATGTAGTACAGAAGGAATTAGATAAAATGGCTGCTTGGTCGTCCCTATGGAATCTCCAATTTAATCTGAACAAATGTGGCTGGATCTGCTTCGGTGCACCCTCAATTGACCTGAAATTAACGCTCCAATCTGCTAACCTAACAAGACTCCGAAGTGTCGTTGACCTAGGCTTGAGGTACTCTAGTGACTTGACATTCTCAGAGCAAGTAGCATCACAGACTAGAAAATCGAGGATGCTCTTAGGATGCATACTCAGGAACTTTCACGACAATGAAGCCAAGCTAATTCTGTACAAAACATGTGTCAGACCACTACTAGAATACTGTCCATTTATTATAAGCAGCACTCGCACACGTGACAAGCTAAGGATGGAAAGTATCCAACGATATTTTACCTCAAAACTGCTTGGCTACGATTGTAAGAAAGACTACATCTCACGGTGCATGATCCTAAAACTCGACCCACTTTGGACAAGGCGACTTATTATAAACCTAATATTCTTCTTTAAGGTCCTTCACAAAATATCTTTCTCAGGTAACAGGGACATACAATTCGCACAGGAAGGTTCTTACGATCTGCGTAACCAAACTTCCACAGTGACAACTCATTCTTTTAAGTCAACACTCCGTGAAAACTTCTTCACAGTCATGTATTCTAAAATATGGAATAGCCTACCCCTAGATATCAGAACTTGCTCTTCGGTTACAAGCTTCAAACGCTCTCTATACAGACTGTTTCACTCTACTGATTATATTAATAAACTATTTACTCCTAGAACGAATCAAGCACTAATCTACTACAGCACCTAAAAGACGCACTTCAACACCCTTAGCAATCTTTAAACTATAAATAAACTAGCAGCATGGATGCATAAAGACATAGTACGGAACATACAGGATTAGTTTACCCTTAGAAATAGGACCTATCCCTCATTGTAACCTTCAAACGCTTGCTATATAAACTGTTTTGTCCAAATGACTATCCCTACCAGAACCCATCACTTATTTCTAAAACGCATCAGTCATTAGAACACTAAAACGCTCAGACTCATTAATACACATTATGACATTAAATAAACTCTAAGACTTCGCATAAATACGTGAAAACAAATACAATATAGAAAAATGTTTACTTAAGTATAATTTACAATTAAGATAAACATTTATAAATGCATAATATATAAATGTCCTTTTCATGTTCACATACTTTCTCTTTCTGGTATTTTGCTGCTCCTATTCATCTTCTGGTCGAGGTCGAACAACCCTGCATCTAAACTGAAATGAGGATTAATTCCAAACCGTCTATCTCATAACCACTCAAATTCCATGAACGATCCAATTCTACCATTTGAAGACGCTGGCGAACATGCTGTAAATGAGTATTCATGATCTGAAATGAAGAAGCAACTGGTTTTCAAACAGTTTTCAACATTTTACTCAACTTACGAATACAGTCCGCCATGCAGACACAAATGGAGCAAATGGAGAATTCTGGAATCGACCTCGGCACCATTTGATGCAGTAAAACAACCCAACATGACCTTATCTAGTTTTCGTATCCACGATCAAATTTCTTTCCTGTTATAAAACTACGATAAGACTGCTGAAAAAATGGAATAAATATATCACTGATCTCAACATAATACATCAATAATCTTTAAGCCAAGGGTGCTGTTCACAACAAAGTTATATAGGAGAATTGACTTCAAGCTTTATTTTTCCCAGATATTTGTATTACATTCATCTGATGTCTGGGTTTTTTGTTAATGCGAAGACAATATTTCTATATCTCTTTATGTGCTACACAAACAAACTTTATAGCAGACTGTTCCGACTGACTTTGATGTCAGAAAGAACAACCAAACTGTAAATCCATTATACATCAAATTTTGTGTAATTTATATAATAACTTATCCATGCCTGTACAATTGGTATGCTCCTGCATAAACAGGAAGAAATATATATTAATAGAGTGTCACTGCATATAAGCAGATTAGTGAAGTATACGCCAACCCTAAGTTACTGCATTTATTTGTACTGCGGACTTCGCGTTTAGCAGTATATGGACTTGCGACTGGCTTAATAAGGCAACTCTAGCGTATCAAACGGCACAGAATTATTATTCAACTTGTTGAATCCTACTACTTTTGCAATGTGCTGTTTCATAGAAACAGGTGCGAAACCCTATGAATGACTGAAATTACAGTCTCATTATACTGTAGTAAATCTCCACCGCACTAACTAGGCTTTACATTCCCTGATCCGAATTCACATATTACAAAAGCCCATAGGATAGCGGAGCATTGAAAAAGTCCAGAGGAAGCAAAAATTAAGAGTATGTTAAATATTCTATAATTTGCAAGTGAAAATTCTGATGAAGAGTATCAGCGTTAGCTTAACCGTTTGACATTTCCGCTGATTTCGTATTCGACAACCTCCGTATACCTGCAGAAATAAAGCAAATGTAAAGACTAGCACAACACGAAGTTATAAAAGATAATTCTACATATTAGCATACAATGTGAATAGACTAATTCTGTTATTACTAAGTAATACCTCATGCAGATAAATGTCTTTGTAGTCCACAGCTGGTTTTTATATTGACACCGTATGCATAAATAGACCTCACATGTTTTCCAGTATTAGAGGATTATACGAAAATTTCAAGACAATATCTGAAACATCCATACTGTTGAGGCGTCATTCTCTCATCGAGATTACTTGCACATCAAATTCATACTAAACATGCTTACAAAAATGGAAGTGTTGCAAATAAGTTACTTAGAAATTAATCCACAATCTCAGTAAAGCCTAGTGAACATAGTTTTATGAATCCTATCAAATATAAGCTGAACATGCCTCACTTCTAAGCAGCTATGCACTGTGTTAACAGCATAGAGAAATACGTAAAATATTGTAGGATACACAGACATGTTGTGTTGATGGGGATAATAATGTCACATAATGCAACCTAGACACTCAGTCGTGACACCGCATCTGTACTGCTTTATGTTAATGAGAATTTCGGGAGAAATTCATCTCCAGTATTGGTGATCGGAAATATTGCAGCATTGAGTATACAGTGTCAGTGGAACCTGCATAACAGACAGTATACCGATAATAATAGGGCTAAATAGATTTAGTTATCATAATCAACACAGTACATGTGTATAATACTATACACTGAATTAGTGCACTAAGTGAATCAGTGAGGAGAATTAAACGAGTAGTTGACTTCTTCCACTACACCGCCCTTGCGACAACCATGAGAACCACCTACATTTGTTAGCTTAGCAGTCAGCTAAGCACAAAATGGCACAATATTAATACAGTAGGGATATTTTTTATACACTGAATCCACATAATCCATATTACATTGCATCGATCAATGCAAATATGTATTAAATCCACTTAGAGATAACCTTTCAACTTACAATAATTCCTGCCCTAAAACACACGTGAAAAATGTATCTACATGATAAGCTCTATTTCCGAAGAAGGTTCTGTTAGCATTTACAGGTGATTCCTATGTACTGATGGTATCAAATTGTCAAACAGTATTGTTCTTCACACGAAAATGGGCTGTATTGATATCGTGAGAAGCGAAGTGTTCATTAAATGATACTATGCAGAAAGCTGCAGCTTCTATTTGAAGTAAACAATTTGTGTAGATGACATTACCCTCTAACTATCCCATTATGCTCATTGTAGCGATATTTTGACAAAGACCACCTGAATCACTAATCATTGCAAGCAATACGATAAGAGTACACCGCAGTCGGAACGCATGACGCGGATACCAACACGACGTGTCAGGAATGAGAACTCCTATCAATCCAGAAAGCATATAACACAATTTTATTGAAAATTATTGACAGAAAAATTTACCGAGCGAAATTTCAACCAATATGCCATTCTACACCGTGATGTGTTTGAAATGTGTGGAGGTTCATTTGGTACTCTTAGTTACATAAGGCATGCCTTCAGAAGATTCCAAACCCGCTAAGCAGAAGGTAAGTACGATTAATTCTAGTAAGACAAACAGGAATGTTTATGAGTACCAAGTTCTTTGCTAATGCAGTCAAGATGTCTATTTTTCAGGTTCGTTCAATATATGCTTCTACTTCCTAATTAGGTACAGAAAATTACCGAACAAATGGCAAAGTCTTCGTTGAAGCAGAATGAGATAAAGTACAACTTAAAAGTCCCCAAGGTAATTTGTATGGTAATCTGTTTATTCTCAGGGTACAAGAGATCGTGACCCGGTCCAAATGACAGTTCTTGAAGGTGTATTCAATACAATAATACAGTGTTTCAAGCGTCATGATGCAGTAACAATTGAAACGCCTGTTTTTGAGCTCAAGGTATTCTACACTTCGATTGTTTTCTAAAAGATTAGGAAGTTTTGACGGGGAAATACGGTGAAGAATCCAAATTGATATATGACCTCCAAGATCAGGGCGGCGAAACACTTTCTTTGAGATATGACCTTACTGTAAGTTGCAATATGCAATGGCAATATGTTTCAGGTCCCGTTTGCTCGTTATGTTGCTATGCATAAAATAAAATCTATCAAGCGTTATCAAATTGGGAAAGTTTATCGTCGGGACCAACCAGCCATGACTCGAGGTCGTTATCGAGAATTTTACCAGTGTGTAAGTACATAACAGCTACGTTTGTTTTGTTCAGAATATTATTCCCGTCTTAAGTACTAGGTATTTGTATTAATTTGTGTCACCCAAGAAATGTACATAATTATTACCAAAGTACCAACCGGTGGCTTTTAACTTTACACAAAATAATATTCTACCATTATACTTTTTCGTTCTTTAGGATTTCGATATTGCTGGGGACTACGGACCAATGCTGGCCGATGTCGAATGTCTGCGAATCATATATGAGGTCCTTTCAGAACTAGCATTAGGTGACTTTGTTATCAAGGTCAACCATAGGCGTTTACTTGATGGTTTATTTGCAGCTTGCGATGTCCCTGCTGACAAGTTTGTAACAACTTGTTCTTCAGTCGACAAATTAGACAAGGTGAGCTTTAGTTTTCTTCTCGATGCCCCGAACAAATACAAAATGACATATACTGAGATTGTTGTTTGGTGTTAATTCGTTTAGAAGTTCTCCCATTAGTCCTTTTAATATTTGTTCGTCTCATTTAATAAATTTTGATGGATTTACATACACCTTTGATAACTTGTGTAGATTCAATTTCAAATTTTAGCTTGTCCCTTGCTTGAAATGCTTCATAATGACAATTCAGAGTAGTGAAAATAAACATTTTATTTATGGATTACATTTCCTTTGGCTTATTTTTTCAGATTCAGATTTATTAGTTGAGGGTAGAGGGCTTGAAGCCTATGTTAATCCTTTTCTAGTAAATTTCTCTGGTTGTCTCAGCCCTTCCTGAATGAATCAATTGAGGTTGCAGACATCACTTCTTCTGGAAGTCGGTTCCAAGAGTTTGTGACTCGGTGTGAAAACCAGCTTTCAACAGCAATATGATTTCTTCTTGGCTTTGGAACTCCCCTGCTATGTCATCTAAGGTGTTCCGATCTGTTGTGAAGGAAAAGAGAGATTAGGTCAGGTCCGTTGTCATTATTTAAAATTTTAAACATTGATTAAATCTCCTTTCTGCCTACGGTATGACAGGGAGAAGAAATTTAAACTGTCTAGTCTTTCCTCGTGTGATAAGTTGGTCATGCCGAGAATCATACGTGTTGCCTTCCTTTAGACGCTTTTCGGAATGTGTGAGTTCGCTTTAAGACAAGGACTGGCTGCTAGGTACAGTTTTCTAGTATTGACATCACCATGGATGTATATAGGGAGGTGAACATATGTCTGGTGATTCTAATAAAGGCTCTGTGAATTGCCCATGAGGGTCTGGAACTATGTGCAGCCACCGCGCGACAATGTGCTGTAGTTTTTAAATCGTGGCTAACTACGACACCTAAATTCGAATGAGTCTAAACTGATCGGTTAAAATTGCCTCATCGCAAGAGTTGATGCATGCTTGTCCGATGCGAATGGTTGCACATTTTGCTACATTGTTTGGGAGCATCGATTCTCTGGACCACTGACAAATTGTTGAGGTCCGTTTGTAACATGAGCGTATCACTGTTGCCCTTCTCTCTCTCTCTTCATCTACGTATAGGACCATAAGGGAATCGGTGCGCAGAGATAACTCATTGATATGCAAATAAATAGGGGAGGTCTGAGAACCGTGCCTTGTGGCACTTCGTTACGCACTGCTGTCCAAGAGAAGATTTTTATAGCATTATTCGACTTAATGGTTTTATTTTCGCACTTGCCTTCTTTATTACCTTGTTACTGTGGCAACTTTAACTGGTGAAGAGCCGTGCTAGGTCTCATGTTGATATTGTTGTCCACTAAATATTAGTTATAACCTTGATTCGCATCCGACTTCCAACCTTTTCCTAGGTTCCTTGGGAAGATGTCAAGCGAGAATTATGTGAAGATAAAGGCTTATCTGTCCAGACGGCTGACAAAATCGGTTTCTACGTTCAGTTATCTGGGGGTATAGATCTAGTTGAACGCCTTGAATCTGATGAAAGCCTCAACAACCAACCTTCTGCAAAGGCTGCTTTGCAAGATATGAGATTGCTGTTGGGCTACTGTGAAGCATTGGGTATTAAGGATAGAATAGCTTTCGACCTTAGTCTTGCACGTGGTCTGGACTACTACACAGGTGTTATATACGAAGCTGTTCTAAAAGGTATGTTCAATTTGAAGTGATACTGCAGTAATGTGCTTATTTTTGCTTTCATTCTGGTAGTTGTCAGTTAAAACTTGGTTGTTGGCTTTTGCAAATATTTTCTATTATGAATAGATGCTTTTTTTCAACTCACTGTTCCAGTTGTACCCGAGAGTTATATAAGCTTCTATATGTCGATGTGGTTGTGGTCTCTGCGCTGGGAACGGGTCCAAGTGTGACATGGACGAGATGAGAGACTATGGCCAGGTAAAGAAGACGGCAAATAATAGGACAAAATGGAGATGTGCTGCTAAAACCTCATCTTCAACTTGGAACCCAACGGAACAATGACAAATAAGTTATTCACAGGAAAGAGGAGACTCCACAGACTTAATAGACATCTACGTAATTATTTCCCTAATGCAACCATAAATTCAAGCCCATTACCATGGGAACGAAGGAAACTTTTCATCGCTAAATAGGATTCTATGACGTAATAGATTTATTTTCATCTCTGAAGGAATACTTCGACTCCTTGGTCACCTAAAATTCACCACCGGTAAGAACAATAAATGGTATACAAAAACAGGAAATATGAGGCTAAATTATCCATATTTATTGAATAATATCAATATGGAAGTTTATATATGATAGAGAAGATTTGTAGCTCAGGTGGATGATTTTGATGTGATTGTGTTCTCTGAGCTGGATAGTTAATTTGTGAAACTTTCATCGCCCTACTAGGCGACATCTTCAGCGCATACTTCAATTTGAAGTGAGTTTTTAGATTTCTCCACGAGCTTATTAATCATCTCTCCTGGTGACCTTGGACGTGATTGGTTGTTTTTGTGTGTTTTCACACCATCTAGGTTACTTGTATTTACTTACTTTACTTCACTTCGGCTATCTCCTACGGGAGGATGAGCCGGCTTCATGAACATCTCGAATCATCGCTACCCAGACGCGGCGATCTGATGCAAGGTTTTGCGACAGGGTTATCCAATTCTTGTTCCACAGACGGAGTCTGTAGACTGTTTGTAGCCCCAGGTACTCCATATCAGCCTTGACTGTACCAAGCCATGTTTTCAGCTGTCCACCCCTGCGACATCGCCAAGATGGAAATGGCGAGGGATTTAAAACTGATTTGACCAGATCGTCATCTGGTCGGCGCAGAACATGGCCAAACCACCGAAGGCGACGTTGTTGGACCAGTACTGGAATTTGGTTGATGTTGTAGAGAGTTCATGAAGTTTCATGGGAATTAGGTACGAGTGATGTCTCCAGCATCGCTCGGCCTTTTGTTTGAGAGTGCAGCTCTAACCTTTACACAACCAAGTGTGACCTACAAGGCAGTAGGAGTGGAGTAGGGAGTCCACTATCGATTGGCAGCCGGTGACCGGAGTCCGGTTCATGCGCCTTCTTGAATGGGGCCAGACATCCAATAAGCCCTTTGTCCATACGTCTGCCGGTGAGCTTCATACGCCAGTCGTTGGAGGCTTGGAATCAGGGTTTAGCCATCTCCCCTAGACTGTCATCCAATGGACAGTCAACCCGGTGAAGAGCGCCAGGCATCCGCTTTTGCCCTCTCACTTCGGTGAAAAAACACCGCCACGTGAAGGCAGTGAGTAGGACTTCCTCAGGAGAGGCTATGTAAGACACCTGGTCATATGGGAGCCTTTCAAGAGGTGTACGGAGAGGTGGCCAACCCGCAGCGCAAGGCACCCACCCCCGACCATCCTGAGGCTTTGGAGACTTACTTGTATTGGAACTGATTGTTTCTTTGACTTGAACTTTGACCCTTTGTGTGTGAAGTTTCTTTCTTATCGGTTGATAAATTTTGTCTATCTCAATGTGTCTATTGATTGATGATTCACTGGAATAATAATAATAATACTTTATTCCAAAAACAGTACTTGTGATACAGAATGGAATTTTCAGCATTAATCACAAAATTGCATCTAATTTCCTCAAATTATAAATAAAAATTAATCACACAGAAAATTTTCCACATTTACAATAGAGGTAGTGTCAAAAACATGCAGCATATAAAATGGAAATAGCAATAATAATGATAACAGCTAGGGTAATAATAATAAGAATACAAGTGAAAATTGCCGTTGGCTTGTGTCACACAGTATTGGCAATGTGGTATAGAAATCCTAACATGTTTAAAAATATTGAGTATAATGTTCTCTTTACATGATATGGTGAGGGGAGAAACAAAGATTACTGCCGTCATGGAGATAAGTTGGTGTTTGCAATTATGAGAGTAAAACAGAGAAGTAACAGGACCATAAATATAATAGAAGTAATAAAAGTAAAACTTGAAGGTATATAAGGATGGATGGAGGAAATCGTTTATTTACTAGATGAAAAAAGGTTAGTTAATTCTTGCCTGACACTATTTTCATCACATAAAATACGTGCCAAGTATGGTATCATAGAATTCTTATACTTAGACGTGCGAGCATACAGTTTTCTGAAGTTACTCCTTGTTCTACCTGAGGAGATGCAAGGTGAAAGCTGAGGGTAAAGCGGATGCTCCAAGTCAGACAAAATCCCTTTAGCAAATTTATTGCATGAAGTCAAGTGCCTATCGACAACGACGTTAACTATGTGGTCCACTGGGACACCACTCACCCTACTGACAGTCTTCAGTATTCTACGAATTGTGACATAGTCCTTTTTAAGCAAACCAGGAAAGAATAAGGGTGAACAATAAAGAAGAATAGGTAGGATGCAAGAGTTTATGAACTGTAAGAGGAAGGGTTGAGTTATACCCGAGTGTCTTAACTTCTTAATGTAAAATGTCAGGCGGAATATTTTACTGGAGATTGCTAAGACATGGGAAGACCAGGAGAGATCAGAAGAGAGAATGAATCCAAGATACTTAATTTCTGATTTGATTCCTATATCATTGTCGTCAATTTTACAAGTGTCATGAGAATCGATGACTTCTTTTAACTGTCGTTTACATCTTAAGCTGAAATCAACAGTTTGACACTTAGAAGGATTCAGTTTAAGACCGTTAGACTCAGACCATTTGCTGACTTCCGATAGAAAGCTATTTATTTTAGTACAATCTAGCTGGGAGTTAACAGCCATTGAAACCGTTAAATCATCAGCGTACTTCACAAAGTTTATTTCATCAGGGTGAGGCAAGTCATGCAAGAAGAAAGGAAAAAGAAAAGGAGAAAGAACAGCACCTTGAGGGACACCACCTTCAGTAGGCAATGAAGTGGAAGACTTCCCTTTATATACGGTGTACTGCTTTCTATCTGAGAAATAGGAATGTAACCAGTTAACAGTCCAACATTCTGTTTGACTAGCAGCAAGTTTATTTAATAAGATGTCCCTAGGGACTGAGTCGAAAGCAGATGTATAGTCTAGGAAGGCGCAACGAACAAATTTAGCCCCCTTGTCTAGACTGGAAGCAATGTTATGATATAAGACGGCAGCTGCATCTAAAGTGCTTCTACTGTGCTTATAGGCGAATTGTTTAGGGTCATTAAAGAATTTAAGCGAAGGTACAAGACTAAGCAAAAGTAATTTCTCCATAGTTTTCAAAAAAGGAGAGGTAATAGCAATTGGGTCTAAATTTGACACATGTTCCAGTGGATGATTTAGGTATGGGCACAACTTTAATGTTCTTCCAAACGGCAGGCACAATATTATCGGAAACAGATTTGTTAAATAGATCAGTGAGAGGGTGACACAGAATATCAGAACATTTTTTAAAGATAATACTAGGTACATAATCGGGACCTAGCCAAGCTTCTAAAAATTCTCTACCATTCTTGTTGTTTCCTCTGTCTAGTATTTGAACATTGTCCCAGTCGAATTGATGTCCGTGGCTGTGTGTATGTAGTGATATGAGGGGGTGGATATCATGTCTTTTGACGGCTAGCTTATGATCATGGATACGAAGACGAAGGGGACGTCCAATTTGGTCAATGTAGTGTTTTTCGCAGTTGTTACAATTTATTTTGTAGATGATGTTGGTTTTATCTTCTTTCGCTGTTGAGTCTTTTGGTTGACATAGAATTGAGTGAAGCGACTTTGTTGGTTTGTGTACGACGTCAATTCCTAAAGGTTTGAAGAGTCTTGTAGTGATTTCTGAGATATCCTTTATATATGGTAAGGCGATTTTCTTTGTGCTTTCCTTGGGGGCTCTTGGTTTGATAGGTTGACTTGGGGGTATATGTCTTTTGATGAAATTCCGTGGATATCCATTCTTTTGGAAGACGTCTATGAGATATTTTTCTTCAATTTTCCTTAAGGTGGGAGTGCTGCAATGAGTCCTTGCCCTCTTCAATAGTGTTTGTATGCAATTCCTTTTGTGTGTTATTGGATTGTCGCTGTTGTTGTAGTTCAGGATTCGGTCTGTGTGAGTTGATTTTCTATAAACTTGAGTTTCTAATTACCCTGTGATTGTTGATGTCGTTGAAGACGTTTATTAAGTTGTCAGTTTTATCTAACTCGTTTCTTTTGATTATTACAAAATGTGTCGTCGACGTAACTTATCCAAATCTTGGGTTCGATCTTTGGTAGAATTATGTTTTCAAGCCTTTGCATTACTGCTTCTGCAATCAAACCTGATATTGGCGATCCCACGGGTGTTCCTTTGACTTGCTCATATATTTGGCCGTTGAATTGGAAGTATGTTGTTAGGCATAGGTTTATGCATTCCATCCAGCTTGTGTGTTGCATTTTTGATTGTTGTGGAAGGTGTTCGTCGTTGCTAAGTAATGCTCCATACCTGCATATGTTCTAAAACAATGTGCAGATGCTTTATGTTTTCCTCTAACTAATATCCTAAATGCTTCTTTCTCCGAAAACGTTGTACCTGTTCCATGGAAAGACATTAAAATAGTCCCTGTCCCTAAACCTGGAAATAGCAAGAACGTAAAGTTCAGACCCATCGCCATCACTTCCCCGTTTCTAAAGCTCATGGAAAAACTAGTACTTCTTAAACTCGAACCCTCCCTGAAAAGCTTCGAAGACCCCAAACAATTTGCCTA